CATTCAATGATTACATTTAATGTCGTAATACGTAAGCAAAAAAAAAAAAAAAAAGGAAAAATATATAAAACAACGCAAATACAGCGTCTCATGGACGATAATACGAAAAATGATCCATTCGAGTAGGTTAACCCGTTAAAGGGTTAAACCTTTAGAGAATCGGTTTAGTCGAATCGAAAATTGCGCGAGTGGAAATCACGGAATACCGTGACTGAAGCGTTTTTCATTCCATGAAAAACCATCGCTCGTCATTATCGCGCAGTAGTTGTCGTTCGAGTCTCTTTGTCATCGTTATCATTGCGCAACGAAGGCTACCGAGAACGAATACACACATAATCCCACCGTCAGACATTGGAGGAAACCGTCCGCGCTCCGTGTCGAACGGTTAGAATCCCTGCTTCCATGAATATCCACGCGATCTCTGGCCCGCGTGTATCCGATCTATCGAAAAAGCGCACGCGATGCGATCCTCGACTGGGTTGTGGCCTCGAGCGAGCGAGAGAGCGAGAGAGCGAGAGAAAGAAAGAGAGAGAGAGAGAGAGGGGGGGGGGGGGAGAGAGAAGAAAATAAATAAAAAAAAATAAAAATGGAGAAAGAAATGGAGGGGAGAGAGAGAATGGCGGCGGTGGTGTTCGGTGGTGGTCGTTGACGTTGACGAAGCGACGGTGTTTGACACGAACAGGTTTGACAGTGATTTTGACAGCGACACGACGGTGTCTTAACGGTGGACACGTGCGCTAGTTTAACAAACGGTTTATCGCACTCGTGGCGCTCAACACTTTGCCGGTAACGAGAGACCGATCAATAAATCCGTACGTTTCGTCGATTGGGATAGTTATCTAGGGAATTTTCTGGGGAAGAAGGGGGGGGAAAAAAATTGAGGATTGACCGAGTGTATGAAGATAAGATACGATTTAGAATTTTTATCGAGAGATATTCGGTTGATCTGAAAGAGGTGATTTGGATTTTTGAAAGATTTTTTTTTTTTTTTTTTTTTTTAGGAAGACGATCGATGGGAAGAAGGAATGGTCGAGAGATAAATTTTCTTCCATGGTAAATTGCAGGCTTAAAATTTAAGCATCGTAGAATATGCTGGGTATTATGCAAATTAAGGAAAATATTACGTTGATGCATATGAAATCATCGTTTTATCAAATACAATTTTAAATTTAAATTTAAATATGTAGCTTCCGTAGCGGCTTTCTTTTTAAATACTTTTTCGATATAACTGTTTTTTCTTTCTATTTCCCTCTCTCGAAATAAAATTGTTTGGAATGAAGAAGACATTGCAAGACGTAAGAAAAATCTAACGAATATTCTAAATTGATTGATAACGTATACATTAAAACTCGAATATTTTATTTCCCCTTGGATCAATCGATATTATTTAATAATCCTCCTGTAATAAATCCATCTCGAACGAAACTCGAAATATCCCGTAGATAGGGGATCGACAGATCTGTGTACAATTTCGACGGGGATCGAAACAACCGCATTAATTCTCAAGATATCAGAGTGGAAATAATAAAACAGGCACTAAGCGACATTGAGTTATCAGGAAACGAAGCGCTTCGATATTCGTAGTGTTACATCAGAGCTCGGTCTTAATTGATAACACCGCGATGAGACGCGAATAATACCGGTCATTGTTCCAACTCTCGATCGAGGAAGAAGGAGAAGAGAAGAAAAGAAAGAAAGAAAGAAAAAAAAAAAAGAAAAAAACAAAGAAAGAAAAAAAGGGAGGGGAAGGGGGAGGAGAAGAAATCGTTCCACGTCCCACATCTCCACATCACTGTGAAATAATATCGAGACGTGGCCACGAGACGTAATCGTGGCGACGATAATCGTCGGCATTGTACAAAGAATCGTCCGCGAATCGTTTGGAAGAAACGACGATTCTCGATAAGATTCCACTTCAAATGGAAGGATCGCGTCATCCGCGAGATAACGATTGCGATATATTACGATTTAGAAATAATAATAACAGGGCAGAGGAAAACCTATTGCACACGTTCGAATTCAATTATAAAATAAGATGGATCCCTGCTGATGAATCTTGAACAATCGAATCTTTTTTGTCACCGATTTGTATCCACGGATTTGCGAAGCCGAGCCAAGATGATTCGATGATCGCTCCTCCTACTACCGTATATATAAATTCAGAATGAGGAAAAAGATGAGGGTGAGAGCGAGGCTCTGACTCAGAGATATCCCAGGCCCTCGTCCAACGCAACATCCGAGAACAGACGCCCCCAGAAATTTTCTATATCATTGTTTCGTTCGGGAATAAAAAGTTGGCGATACGTCAAATATCTGAAATCCAAGCTCCTCGCGCGATCTCGTAATTATTATTCGCTCGAATAGACAGAGAAATGTCAAAAATATATATTTTTCTTGTATTCTTTGCATTCGATATAAAGGCTGTTACTATACTTTTCGCAAGATTTCGAATAAAAGCGATGGATTGAATGTCAAAAGTAGTATACGTGAAAGAATTTATTTGATGAATCTTACATATATGGGGTTTAATATATTCGTACGTATCTTTGGAAGATTGAAGGTCGAAATGAAGGTGAAAAAAATCGAAGGTGGAAAAATATCGATCGAGGCTTCGAGTGTGAAACGAGAAGATAATCTAATGGGGGAAATGTTTAAATGTAATTCTAATCAAGTGAAAAGCCTCGATATGATATTTTTACACGCCAATTTTTCGTTTCGCCTTCTCCGCGATCTTCTCGATCCTTCAAAGATATCTCGCGAATATATTAATTAATCATGAATACATGAAACTAATAATGGAATACGCAAGCGTTTCTAATATACTCGACGAGTAATTGCGAGTTTTTACATCGATATTAAAAATTAAATAATTCGTTTTTGTAAGGTGTATACTCACTTTTGACTGTATGTCTGGCAGAGTTGACATACTATTCCATTCGATTCTTTCATTTTTGACGCGTAAAGACTGCAAGAGAAAAACTTGACGTATATTACTCATTTTTTACACCAGTTTTACAATTATTTTAATTCATAATTTTATCCAGTTTCGATTATACGAAACGGATCAAGAAAGTGGTTTTGCATTAATTAATTAATTAATCGAAATAAGACACATTATGTAAGATGATTACGATGATGACCAACGGACAGGAATGCATTGATAAATCGGGTACAATAATACAATAAGATCGATTATGATGCCGGGTAAAAACATTGCAAATATTTATAATATAAAAAAAAGACGAGATTAAACGTTGATTTACAATAAAACATTTACATATTATTGCTACATAACAACGAAGACGCAATAAGACAGTAAGTATATATATATATAATAACAATTTGCTAATTATAAGGCAAGACCTTGGTAAACTTCTGATATGAATGCAATAATATTATGTGCGAAAAAGTTAATTAATTCTTTAAACACCTATAATTAAAATTGTTATATCTTAACCTGTCTAGTTTTTTATATTTCCAACCTTGACATATCAAAGCGTTTTTATCTGTTAGATAAAGAAAAAAAAGTAACAGCTCAAGAAAAATGCACACACAGTACAAAATACACGTTTTGTTAACATCATATATACATATACATATATATATATATACACAAAAAAAAAGTTACCCCTAAAATTAACCCTTAAAACCGAAAAAAACAAGAAGAAGATCCCACGAGATGGATCAATTTCTCGAAATAAGGTATGATACTCTTTCGATCCTCTCGAGAACGAGAGAAAGTGTTGGAAGAGGGACGATGATCTAATCTATAAAAGGGGGCTGACAAACGGTTTGTCGGGCGGAGATTCGCTTTGCTCGATTCGTATTCCTCGCAGGCCTACGAGTTGGGATTCAAGAGTTGGGCAGAAGTTTAAATCGGGAATGGCGGGCCAGGAGGCCGTC